CGACGCACGGCGTGTGCGCGACTGACGCGCGAAGGGAGACGTTCGGCCGCGCGTTGGCGGTGACGGCGGCGCTATGTGGTTTGTTAGCGTTGAACTTGGTGACGACGGACATGGACTTGGTTACGTTGTGCGTCGTGTTGGCTTTGGCTGCGGTGGTGAGCTACCAGGCCGGATGGAGCGTGCGTTCTGCGTTGCACACGCCGTTGTTGTTCCTGACGACTGCGTTGGCGGGTGCTGGTGCTGTGGGCGCAGTGTTGGTCTTGAGTCGCCGGCACACGAGTCTGGTGCCGAACGACATGGGCTCGGGGTTGCAGAACCAACTGAGTTACGGTCAAGACCCAGCGCCGCATGCTCCCGTGCTGAAGGCGTTGCACGGGAACTCGCCCGCTGTCCTGCTCCTGGCGGCCGTCGCCCTCGGTGCCTCGTGTGTACTCCTCGCGACCGGGGTCGCCGTCTGTCGCCGCCTGCTCGCCTTGTTGGAACACGCCGGGGAACCTTGCGCCGGCGCGCGCGACTACCTCAGCGCGCTAGGAACCAGTACCCTCGGCACCGCCAGCACTCTCGCAGCGGGGACGGCCAAAGTCCCCGCTAGCGGAGTCCATCCCGCGAGCGGAGTGCCCGCCTCAAGTGTCCACCCGTCCAGCGGCGCGCACTCCATGATGACGAGTGCGCCGCCGGAGTTCGCAGCTGCGCGCGAACCGTGTGAGCCGGAGGGCTGGTTCCTAGTCGCCGGGGCTGCGGCAGCTGCGCTGTATTTGGCTGGCACGTTTGTGTTTGCCAAAGACATTTCGGAATTAACCTTTCTCGCCGCGGCGCTCTGCTGCGTTGCCGCAGTTGCGACCTTCGCGGACCTGCGCACGGCACGTGCAGGAGTTGCTCTCGCACTCGGTGGTGTGCTCCTCGGCTGCACGGCCGCGCTCGGCGTCGCACTGCTACCTCTCGCGCGTCACCGCGCGCGTTCCTGGGCCCTGTTGCGTGCGGCCTGCGAAGGACCCACGCTCGTCGCGGGCTCCGCTGCCGTCGGCGCAACCGCGTTGGGTACTGCGGCGGGCGCGCTGCTCGGCGGCGCCGCAGGCGCTGCCGAGTTGCCGCAGACGTTGGCGCTGTGTCTCGTGCTCGCGGGGGTCGCGGGTGCCGCGACGGCGTGCGCATATTTTGCCAAGTACGCACCTGACGCGGGTCGGTCGCTGGGTGTGGACTTGAACTACAACGGCGTGAAGGCGTTCTGTGTCCTCGCGGGTGCGGTGTTAGGCGCCATGACTGCGGCAGGTGCGTTAGTTGCGGCATTGAAGCTGCATGGTCTGGCACGAGGGCCGGCATTGCACGTGCCCGGTCGGAATAGTTTCGCGTTGGTAGCGTTCGGTGCTCTGGTCGTATTGGGGGCGCTGTTTGTACTTCCGCCGGACACGACTGGTTTGATTTACGCGCATTTACTATGTGGTGCGATCTTGGTCGCTGCGGGACTCGGCAGCCTGCTTGTCGTCGGTTGTGCTGTACAGGATATGGCCGTGTGTCTGGCGCTGCTCAGTGGTCTTGCTGGCTGGACGCTTGTGGCGGAAGGGTTCGCACTGGACAACTTGCTGCTGACCATCGTTGGTTGCCTCGTCGGCGTCATTGGCGGTTTGCAGGTGCGTGTCCTCGGACGGGCCGCGAATCGGACCCTCTCCGCCGTGCTCCTGGCGCACCCGAAACCCCTCACCGTGGTGGCGGAAACCACGGCCTCTATTGCGGCGGCGACTGGGTTGGAAGCTGGATTACTTGACCCGCGGTTGTCTAGGACACAGACAACGTCGGTGGAGGCCGTGGCGGAGACGTTGGCGGAGGCGCGGCAGGTGGTGGTCGTGCCGGGTTTCGGCCTTTCCATCGCCGGCGCGCAGTGGGCACTGTCGGCCGTTGTGTTGGCGTTGCTGAAGCGCGAAGTAGAGGTACACGTCGCACTCCACCCCAACGCGGGACGACTGCCCGGCCATATGCACGTCGTACTCGCCGAAGCCGGAGTACCCACCAGCATCGTACGCGCCATCGAGGTCGAGGGACCCCACGACATCAACCAAGACGTCAACCAAATCTTCGCACAAGCCGACGTCGCCCTCGTCGTGGGCGCACACGACCTCACCAACTCCGCCGCCGTCGAAGACCCGAATTCCGCACTTGCCGGCAAACCAGTTCTACACGTCTGGAAAGCCAAGAACTGCGTCTTCCTGCGACACCACACTCAAATGGACAACAACAACCCCGTCTACGCTAAAGAGAACGTCTCCGTCCTTCTCGGAGACCCAAAGCACTCACTCGAAGCACTCAACATACACGTTCAGAGCCACTCCCTCATCTAGAAAGAAGAGCACATGCACCGTGTGCTGCACACATGCAGTGAAAGAGTGTGCTGCGCGCACACACACAGAGTACTGCTGCACACGCGTGTGTGGAGACTGCACTGCGGTTTTGGATTGCCACACTGTTCATTTGCGTTGTCCTGCCGTTTTATACTGACATCCTAGACCGCGGGAACAAGACCTTTTCGTATCGCAGCAATCAAGTTTTTAAGAAGCTGCAGATCAAGGGCTATTTTTGGCGCAGTGTCTACAACCACCTCCCTCCCAGGCTTGCTCGCCGACTCCCGCTCTTCCCCCAACGATCTCCAGACGATTCCCAGATCCGACGACACGTCAGGTTGCAAGATGTCCAACGGGTCGAGACTCAGGAGCACGTTCCACAGCTCCATCAATTGTTCGAACCCACGTGCGCTCCACCTGCGGGCCAGACAGAGCTCGGCCAGTCTCTTAAGCTCCAGTTGCGCTTCGCCCGGCATCAGGATCTCTGCCTCTGGTGTGCTATTTGCACCGGAATTGAGATCAGGAACGGGGGTGGCGTCGGGGACGGGGTCTGGGTCTGGGATGGGGTCCGGGATGGGGTCCAGAAGAGGGTTGGCGGTCGCTGATTGCGGCTTGGCTGTTTGCGGTCTGGCATTGTAAAGTCTCTGTTGCAGCGCCCGTTGTTTCCGAAAGAGCGCGAAGATTTCAAGTAGTCGCGCGGGCAAGTCCTGATCGGCGAGGCCTTCGTCGCAAGCTGCGAAGTCGTCGAGCACCTGTCTTAGGTAGGAGCTCACAGCCTCGGGTGCAGCCGGGTCGGGTTGACTGGCGTACGGTTGACTGCCGTCTGCTCTATGTTCGCATTCTTTAGTCACTCTTCTAACGTAAATGAGGTAGTCCTTCACGCAGTCAAACTCCGGCTGGGGGGAGCCGGCATCCTGCGCTTTGGCCGACTTGGTGAGCTCACTCGGGCCCTGGACCCTGGGACCATGTGTTGTGGGAAGCTTCTGCTTCTGAGACGGCATTTTCCAATTGCAGGTTGCTGGAGGGTCTTGTGGGGGGGGGGATGGGTCTTGTGCTCGTTTGTTGTTGGGTTGGTAGGTTGCAGCCGGCCGGGGCGGGGCGGCGATTTTTATTTTACGAGAATGCAAGAGTCACCGCGGCTGAATGACGAATCCTCTACTGACCCTCTGGTTGCGCCGGGGGCGCTTGGATCAGAGTCTCCGCTTGGGGAGTCCTCGTTGGGGGGGCACTCACCTATGGGGGAGCGGTCTCCGTTGGGGGAGCAGCAGCCTGCCCACGGGTCGGAGCCTGGCCACGGGTCGGAGGCTGGCCACGGGGTGGAGGCTGGCCACGGGGCGGAGCAAGACCGTTCCTTCACGCCGAAGCTGGAGTTAGACACCGCACTGCCTTCCGACATAACACCGTTGGATCAGGACGCCAACCAACAAGGCCACGAGACGCCACTTCCCGAAGCTCACCCGACCTCTCTTTCCGAGAAGAGAGAGGACGCGTTCATCCAATCCACAGTACAACCTCAAGAGGAGGACACTCAGGTGGGCGGTAGCCAAGAGGGCAATAGCCAAGAGGTAGGCAACCAGGCAGCGGGGAGTACCCCAGAGGTAGGCACCGAGGCGGTGGGCAGTATCCCGGAGGAGGGCACGCCAGCGGATGAGTTGGTGGAGTCACAGGGCGAGGAGTCCCCGCACTTTAGCACGTTAACTGCTGCTGAGGGTCACACGGAAGCGAGCACTGGTCACGGCACCCCCACAGAGCCCCTGTCTACCTCACGAATCACAGAAGAGCCACAAATCACAGAAGAGCCACGAACCACAGAAGACACACGAGGCACGGAAGAGTCGCGAATTGCGGCAGCACATATCACAGACACTGCAGAGTCGCGTTACGAAGACGGACGGAAACGAGGCCTCGAAGACGCGGCCACGCCGTCCATGAAACGCGGGCCGGCCTGCACGCCACCCACCGTCATGGAGACACCCACGCCGGCTGGCGGGCAAAGCTACACCTCTTCTGGTGTAGGACCTCGGTCGGTGGAAGAGAACCGGACCACGCTATGGATCGGAGACCTAGAACGTTGGGAGGATGAGGAGTACATCTACAACTACTTCGAACAATACTTCCCTCAGTCGGTGACCTCAGTCAAGATCGCGCGCGACCGAGACCAACAACGAAGTCTCGGCTATGGCTTCATCGACTTCGTCAACCGCGAGGTGGCCGAACGCGTCCTCGCTTCTGCTGCCGCATTCAAACGGTCCCACGGCCGGCGCTTCAAACTGACCTGGGCCCGAGGCAAGACCCGCCAACCATTCAATCCCGCTGCGGCTCATAACAGAGGCATGATGGGAGTCGCTCCAGGCATGGCGCCGGGTTCTCCCGCCCCGTTGGCCGTCACGCCACCGCCCTTCGTGCCCGGCGCCGGGCCTGGACGATGGTGCATCGATATCCCGAAGCTGCCCAACTTTTGTACGCAGCCAAGGATCGTAGAAGCTGTCCTCAGACCCCTCTCGCTCGATACATGTACGTCCATCGAGCCCTATGACAATGAAAGCTTGCGATTAGTGTTTGCAACATCCAACGCCTTCTTCGCATTCATCGGCAGATACAGGGACGGACGCTTCGATATCGGAGGCCAGTCAGTCGCCTATCTGGTCCCCCCTGACGTCATGGAGAGATGGACAAGAATGTATGAGCAAAGCAGAACGCAACCCCCCACCAACACCGCCGCACCACTGTACGGTGGCTCCGCGGCCGGAATCACCTCCCAGTGGCACAGGATGTGATATATTTTCACCTTAATTTTTTTGCGATTTTGCGCGCGCGTCTCTTTTCGCGCACGTTTGCATGAAAAATTAAACCTTAATAATATTGGAGAATTTCATGATAAAGGCCAAATTTGATCGATGGAGGCCCTATAGTGAACTCATAATGATGATAGAGAAGGAAGAGGACCCTGAATTGTCCCTGTCCGGCCATCTTGAGAACGTGTTCTATGAAAAGACGAGGGATCAGAATGAAGATGTCCCGCTAATGCTGTATGCCACGTTTGAGGAGTGGCTGACGAATTACTGTGACCCGGAGGACGCCTCAGCGATCGTTGGTGTCGCCGGACAATTGGTCAGAGATGACCACCAAGCTAAGATCGGTATACCTCGTTCGGAATTTATTCTGCTTATGCTGACGATGCTGTTGCGAAGGACGAGTCCGCAGAATTGGGGCTTAGCGATAGCTACTCGCCAATTAGCGTATTTCTACTATCTGGATCCACGACTGGGCTTTCTGACGTGGGAGGGGTGGGAGAATCTCTGTGAGAGATCCGCAGAAAGGGAGGCAGCCGCTCCTGCGATGCCGGTAGCGTTATGGCTGCCTTGTACCCAACAATGTGGCACTACTTTACAACCGGCAAAACAGGAGATCCGGATGTTCTGGAACCAAAGAGGAGGGCGCATCACCTACGATGACTATTATGAAGTACATCATACCACCCGACACTCGATTATACACGTCCCCATCCCAGCTGCATTCCATATCGTTAATTGGTAGGCTTGTGAACAAAGATTAGTTAGAGAGCCGTTGGATATGTTCCATTGGTCAATGTTGTACAGAACCTTTAGGTGGAAGCACATAGAACTCTTCCAAAAGCCGACGTCCTTCTCTTGGCTGCCCAAAGCCGTCGTCGAGCGCTTCACTGGAACCAGCAAGACTCAAACACCGCTCTTTAACGTTCGGGCCCACACTATGTTTCTGCGCCGGAACAGCACTGGGGAGGAAGCTGGTGCCGTCAACGATACGACATGCCGAAATGACCAACGTGTTGACACCGATGATCACTGTGACCATGACCAACAGGTCGGCAACCAAGTTAATTCTTCGGAAATTAAGATCAATGATAAGGGCCAGGCGGAAGGTGGGGGGGAATTACGTCCCTGCAATGAAAACAAGCTGGGAGACGCGGGGCTTCTAAGCGCTCAACCCCCAAGCGAAGGAAGTTTGCCGAGCGAAGCGAAGAGTCCCCTCACGCTGAAGTGCTCTCCCGACCCCGGTGGAGTGAGGAGCGAGGGGCAAAAGCGCGCAGTGGACGACTTGTCTTCAGGGTCCGACGTTTATAGTCGACCATCCAGCACGCAGACCATCACCGAGAACACTGAGCCGTCCGGGTCCCTGTCAGTTAGGGAGAGTGCCCGCCGGATCGACGAGACGGCCGCAGCTGCCGAGCGGCAAGAAGCAGAAAGACGCCGGGTTGCGGAAAGAAGGAGATCGCAGCCGCACAGCCAGAACCAGCAAGCGAGCAAGGATCAGCAGTCTGGCAAGGAGGACCCACACCCCGACAAGGAGGACGAAGAACCCAACAAGGAGGATCAGCTGCACGAGAAGGAGGACCAGCAGTTTAGCAAGGACCAGCAGTTTAGCAAGGACCAGCAGTTTAGCAAGGACCAACTGTTTAGCAAGGACCAACTGTTTAGCAAGGACCAGAAACAGGAAGGAGCAAAGGTTTCGCCGGAGGCGATAACCGCGCTGCCTTCGTCCGCGGACACGTTGGATGGACGTCTGGCGTCCGTTAAGGAAGGGTTTTCCTGCGAGGCGGAAGGCCTCGGAGAGCGTGCGTTGGAGCTCAGCTGTATAGGCCCCGTTGAGCTGAGGCGGTTTTCCGGTGGTGACTGTGCGAAGTGGTTCGTGCGGTATGTGGTCCCGTTCTTGAGAGGAGAGGACTTCTTGCTGGGGCTGAGCAAGCACGAAGTGTTGAGTGACTTGATAAGCATGGGTAAGTTGACGTATGCGCACTCAAAGCAGGAGGACTCGGTGGAGGGGTTGAATCTTCGCGCGGGTGAGAAGCTCTGTGTGGTGGGTCAGGTGTGCGGCGACTTGGGGCGATTGCGGGAAAATCTGTTGGAGGTGCTTCCGCAGTTAGGGACTAAGTCGCCGTGTGACTCGACGTTGGACTCGACGTTCGATAACCTGCGCATCATCTTCGCTGGCAACAATTTGGGCGCGGAGCGGAGGAGTCTGGGGGAGGGATGGAGCCTGGGAGTTTTGTTGGTGGTGCTGGCGTTCAAGACGGGTTTCCCTTCGAAGGTGAAGGTGTTGCAGGGCCGTGCGGAGTTTGAGGACAGTGTGGTTTTGAAGGCGGATTGTGTGCGATTCTGGGGTTCTGTTGAGGGCAAGCAGGCGTGGGACCGCGTTTCGGATGTGCTACAGACGTTGCCGCTGGGTTGTCAGGTTGGCTGCCAGTCAGGTTGCCAAGTGGGGGCGGGACTGGTCTACGGCGGCGTGGTGACCGAGGCGGTGGCGACGACCTGGCCACAGCTCGTGCGCTGGCCGAGGCGGCCGGGGGTGCGCGCGGCGGGGGTGCGGCGCCGACGTACGTGCCGGGGTATCGAAAGAGGCTGCCGAGTGCGACGCAGCTGGACGCCGTCGTGGAGACGTCCTTTGCGCCCGCGGGGCCCGGTTTTGCTGGACTGGTGCGGCTGCGCCACACATCAAACTTCAGCTGGGTCGTCTCCGACGGAACTTGGACGCAGTTGGAGACCATGAGCGGCGTCCAGCACTTCGGGCTGCTCTGCTGCTGCGCCGGCCGCGAAGTCAGCTGCATCACTGCCGACCGGCAACCCTTCTTCCCCCAGGTGGCCGCCGCCCACAATGTCGCCACGGGCCGCGAAGTCAGCTGCACCCGACAGCCCCTCTTCCCGCAACTCAGCACCGGCGCCACGGCGTCGGATGCCAGCGAGAACGACAGCCCCGATAGCGTGATCGCCAAGTTCTGCGCCCAATGCGGGTAGTCTGTGCCCGGTGGGAGTAGCGTTTTTACACCGACTCCGTGTCCGCCTCTGTTCTTGGCGGCCTGGCACCTCGGAGCCGTGGGTGCGTCGGAGGTGCGGACGTCTCGGCCGCCCCAGCCCTTGAGGCGTCTCGTTCGGGGGATTTTTTGAGAAAGTGATGAGTCGAAATAGTTTGCTGGACCTGCCGAGAGTCTTGCCGGACGACCGTTGGCGCGGGTTGGTGGGGGAGGAGCGAGAGCGGACGCAGAGGCACGTATTGGAGTTGTTGGCGAGTTCGGACAAGGGCGACATAGGAGCCGTGTTGGCGATGCGGAAGTGTTTGACGCTGATGCGGCACACGATGGAGCATAAGACGGACTACGAAGAGGAGTGGTTGGGGACGGACGGGGCCAAGTTTTACAAACAGGTCATCCACGGACTCTCCAAATGGGTATGCTCCCTCTCCCCTTAATATTGCGTCTGTGGTTCGTCGGGTAGCTGGGTGATATTAGATTTGTAGTTGCTGGCGTCATTCTCTGTGGGTGAAGGCGAAGGTCCGAAAGATTTGTTGTATGGAACGATCTTGTGTCAAGTGTTGAGTAATGTGCTACGGACGGTGCTATGGGTGACCGATTACAAGCTGTGGCACGTGCCGGAGGATTATGAGGCCTTGGTACGGTTTATTGGGTTCCCGGTGAGGCCTGAATGGTTTTTGGATAGTATTGGCGAGAAGTATCGGTTATCGTTTCGGCGGAATGTGAACACGGGCGGGAAGATTTTCGAAGAGTGGTACAACAGCGTGATCCACCTGAGTCACTATTGCAAAGTGTTTTGGCCGGTTTTGGGTGGCCAAGTCTTGGTCGAACGCGCCCGTCGGGACGTGCTGGAAAGGACTTCTTCCAGAGCACTGGCTTACATGGCCCTCTTTGACAAAATGGTCAGTTCCCAATTCTGTTTCGAGTTTGTAGTTAGAGGTGATTTCGCGACATGGTGGAACCTATCCAGTCCTTGTTTGTCCAATTGGTGGGACAGTGTTTTCCTCAGGATATTAGCTAGGGCTGTCAAGTACGCGTGGGCCACTGGACAAGATGACTTATTCAAACCGTCCGCCCGGAAGACGTCCACTCAGAATATGTCTGGAGCAGGCGCTGCCGCCGGAATCAGTGGGAACACCGAGAACGTCCCGTTGGGCTTTACCTTCCTCCCCAAAGTCTGTCACATTTTGAGTCGAGTTGGTCTGAAGGTACCGCTGGCTGTCAGTAAACTCCAAATTTCGGAGTCGGATCATGATAGGCATTCTGCAGACCTCTCCATGCTAACCAAAGATGTTCCGAGTCCCATGAGATCGTCGAGCATCATATTTACATACCTGCTCGTGCCCAAGGCCGACAACGGTTCTATACCGAACGGCGATTTGGTCTGGCGGATTCTAGCATCTTTGTTTACTGTATTGGAGCCGTGCTCAAATCCAAGCGTGATGCTTGGTAAGTACGATAAGAGTATATCCCATTTCCTGTCTTACTTTTTGGATTGTTATGTCAAAAGGGTCGGAAGAGAGCGGTCATGGGTTTGCAGCACACGTGTGTGCGAAGCGCGCAAATTGGGTCCCGTCGAAGATAGAGTCATTATTGACATGGCATTCCCCCTATGTCGTGAGGGGATCATGAAAAAGAGTCAAGATACGAGCTCAAGATACGACTTAGCATTATCTCTTTTGTGCGCTCTGTCTCCTACGGAAATCACGCAGTGGTTGCATAGCAAGTTGTTGTCTGTTTCCGAGAATATAAGTGAGCCTTTGCAGCTATTAGTTGTGCTTCGATTGACGGCTAGATTCTCTCGATGGATCGCGTTGTATAGTCCAAGTACTATTTTGGAGTTGTTTAAGTTAATAGAGAATGGTTCTTTGATTGACGTGTCTGAGCAGATGAAGACCGTGGCGTTGCTGACGTGTTTCCTGTCTCTGTCTACGTTCATTCCCTTCTCCGAGTTCACCAACGCGGAAGGCGAGCCGGAGCAGGCGGACTTGTACGGAGTAGCGTTGGAGGACAGCTGGAAGCGTCTGCTGTTTATGTTCGGGGCCAAAACGGCGGAGAACAGGACGGTCTTTGCGAGCCAGGGAAAAGTCACGAACATTCGGAACTACCCGGATTGCAGACTTGCCGACACTAGCTCTAGCAGAACCGCTAATACTAATACTGGCGACGAGACGGAGCAAGATGAGTGTGCGTCTTACCAAACAGCGGATAACCTGCGAACGATGTTAGAACAGCGGCAGCTGGTGTCGGTGAGCGTGGGGCTGTTTGCGGAGACGTTGGTAGAGAAGTTATTGGCGGCGGTGGACCGGATGGGAAGCGGTTCGGACGCTTTGGACGACTCGTTATCGAATACGATTCAGTTGTTGTTTTACGCGATTTGTACGGACGGGCCGACGGAGTTGGTTGCCAATTTGAACGGTCGTTTCTGGCAGTGGGCGGCAGCGACTCCACGCGAATCGGTTGTCAAGGTCATCGCGGCCGTCGCGGGCGGTTTGGCGGCCAGTCGGCGTGTGGATGCACTTGCGATCGCACTCGATGCGACGGAGGCTGTGGCTGCGCGGCCGGCCGCTTCGCCGGCAATTTTGGAGTGGTTACTGAAGCTGTTGCGCAGTACCATCTCGATCGTGGACCGGCGACTGTTGTTACGGAACACTTTACGCCTTGCACGTCTGTCTTGGAAGCTTCTTCACTCTTCGGAAATGAAGGTCTTTAAAAACGGAACCGCCGTTCTTGCCGCGACCATCGGTAAACTGATGGAGACTGAAGTCCGTCCCTGGCGGCCTTCTTCCGCCTATGAATCACCGCTGGACTGTCTCGTAAACTGGCTGGAGCCCGCCGGTGCCTTCGAACAACGATGCAACAAACCAGTGATGGAATGGGACGAACCGGACGACCGAGCGCTCGACACTGCACTAGCACTCAGCACACTCTTCCTCGAACTCTTCACAGAGCTCCAAGACCGCCAGACCAATCCCGAAGCGGGTCGCCAGTTCGATGCCGCCAAGTTCGTCCGCGAACTCCGAGGCTTCATACGCAACAAGGATGATGCTTTACTCACACAGCTCGCTGCCCTCCCCACTGAGCCAACTGGAGCGGCGGAGACAAGTGGCGAAGCCGGAGGTGGGACGGAGTTGCCAGAGGCGCCGACGGTCGTGTTCCGTTTGGTGCGGTTGGTAAAGGTGACTGTGGGTTCTCTGTCTGCGGTGTTTGTTGATGAGCCGAGCAGTCGGTTGTGGGGTGCGACGGGAGCTGCGCACTGTGGTCGGGAGGCGGGTGAGACTCTACTGCGTTTGGCGGTGGAGTTTCTGTCTTCGCACGCGGCGGCATATGCGGGGTTGGCGGTGGACGCGGAGTCTCTTAGTGGAAGACTGGATACGGAAGTGGTAACGCAGGGTCAGGCGGGCACAGACCTGAGTAAACTGTTACAGAAGATGCTGGGACTGGTACGAGTGGCTGCGGCGCGACAGCCGCCTTCGCAGAAGGATGTGGAGCCGTTGAAAACAATCGAAGGTTGGAGTACCTTCGGCGTTTGGAGCAACCCATTATTCGGGCTACACAAGTATGCGGCGTTAGAAGGTGCGTGCCCCTTCGCATACCTCGAACGCGTCCAACAGGAGTGGCTGTATCGTGTGAGCTGTGCATCCGAACGCGTGCGCTTTTCTCTCGACCGTCGATGGTGTGTCTGTTTTGTGCTGGCCATGACCACTTGTGTGTACGCACAGGTGCGCGTGGCCGCACAGAAACTCCTCGGGCGATTGGTGGCCTGTCATGCAGGCGCGCGCACCCCCGTCATTGACGCACTGGTCGCCGAGTGGCAGCTCTGCGCTACGGAACCAGCCATCTATGAGGGCGCAGACGGCGCCGGCGACCACGGCGGGGCAGAGGCAGGTCCCAGTGTGACTCCCCGAGAAGGCGGAAGTGACGCCGAGGAGGAGGGTGTCGACTTGCGGAAATTCGTCAAACAACTTAGTGGGAACCACCTGGCTGCCACGAGTCTGGCAGCGACGACAGGACTGGCGACCAAAGGACTGGCCGCCACCAAGGGCGATTCTAGCATCGAGGAGTCGGAAGCCAGTCGCGCTGTCTCCGAATACAAGATCCACCGACAGATGACCGGCCTCATCTACGTACTCGGAGAACCCAAGATGATGCGTCGTATCATGGCTGCACCGCACTGGAGAAACCAGGTTTGCATGACTCTCGTCGACGCACTCAGCAGACCCGTCGAAGAAGCATCGCTTCGTCAAAGACTCCTCGCCCTGGCGCGGGCCACCGTCGACTGTCGCAGCGACTGCAACGCCGAAGACGACCGTCAGTTCATACGCACTCTTCTTGACAAACTCGACGAGCCGCTCCATTGGCGTTCACAAACTTATTGTCTCGCACTTGTCACCGCCAGCCTCCGCGCTGACACTCTCAGTCAGACGACTGAGGGCGCGAAGCTGGTGAGCAGGATCGTCGGATGGTACGTGCACTACGCGACGCAGCCCTCGCCGACGCCGAATATGGTCACGCTCTCGCTTTGCGGACTCTCCATCCTTGGCCGCCTCATCGTCAAGCATAAAGAAATCGTCTGCGACCAGGAAACCAAAGATCTCCTCGTTCAGAAAATTGACAAGGTGCTGGGCAACCTGAGTTTGGTGCATGTGCAAATAACGCGCAACAAAGACGGTAATGACTTGCTGTACCACCTATTAGTCGAAGTCATTCGATGCGACCGCTCCTGGCCGACAAGTCTGCTCGGCAAGTACCACAGTGGCTTCAGTCTGCACTGTTGTTGCATTTCACAGACATGCGTCCAACTTCTGCGACATTTCTTGGGCGAGGAGGCGGCGCTGGAAATATTGCGCACACGTGTGCTGCCCAATACTGCCCAGGCTTGGACGGCCGCAGACAAGAACAGCCCGTCAGATGAAGAGAGTTACTCGACGCTGGCGGAATTTTCGGCCGGACTACTGAGGGCAGCGCGCAAGTGGGAGCCGAAAAACATGAAGCGCATCTTTGAGTTGCTCGTTCCAAGTCTCAAGGAGACAATTGACGGGCAAAACGGTGACAGCAACATCTGGCTAGACTCGATGCGCTGGTGCGTCCATGGCGTCTTTGGTGGCACAAAGATGAAGAAGCGGACGATGGAGGACGATTTGATTGACGGCAAGAATTTCCCGAATGCGAAATGTTTCGTGTTTGGCGTTGCCAACGCCTACATCAATGGGCGCGCGTCCACAACCGAGCTGTTGCCAGCTGTTGGTGATTTCGACAAGTCTTCGCTCGAGTGGCGACGGCGCATGATCTTCCTGGCAACGTTCCATTACGACCTGAACAGCATTTTTTCGGAGGAGGTCGAGTGGACAAGGAACGCGCTGACTAACACCGACGGCAACCTATATCAGCACAAGCGAGCAAGAGAGACGCTCGCTCATGGCCTCGCTCAGTTCATCCTCTGCTGCTCAAGCACCCTCTTCGTGCGACTTGGTCGCACTGACCATCCCAGCATTGCTGTACACGAACAGTTCCTCAAACACTTTGAGGATGGCCTGATCAGCAAGAAGGACGCTCTTCTAGAAGCCCTCCGGCACTACCGACATAATTTCCAGGAAGACCCCGCTGCAACTTCACCCGACCCGGAGACGTTGGAATTCATGACTCTTGCTCAATGCCTGAAACACATCTTTACACATCCGGCCAGAGACGCTCTGTGGCCTCTTGCTGTACCCGTAAGCCCCTTGTTACTGGGTCCCCTCACCCCCTTGGCCCCTCACAACCCCCCCCCCAAGGAGTCATGTTTTAGTTGATGCCGGTGATGTTGGAAGCCCGAGGGTACGTGGAGCTGCCCGATATAAGTGGTCTAGGGCGTGCGGTTTCGGACTTGGTGTATTCCAATGGCACGTTGGCGTTTGTGCCGCAATTTAGACTGCCACTGTTGGATGTGTTGTTGCAATCCGATAATTCGAAGAAGTCGTTGTACCAATTGCTTGAGCTATTCATCGTCAAGAACAGCGTGACATTGGGTGTTATTGACATGTTGAATGGTAGTGCAGGGTACGATGTGGAGAAGCTGCAGAGCGTGCTGATGGAGGGGCTGAATAAGCCGTCGGTTTCGGACTACTCGGAGGCTGCTTATGCGGTTCTCTGTGCTGTGATGAATCAGCCGGAGCGTGCGAAGACGGCTGAGCAGTTGCTAGCGAGTGCTGGCAACCCGCTCGAGGTCACCACCCAGCAGTTGGGCTGTCTAATTGCGTTGTCCGTGTTGATTACCTCCTGCAACAATTCTTACGTGCCTTACTGGGTGCCTAAAACCATCACACAGTTTGCACGACTAGGAAACAGCAAGGCGCCCGATAGTTGCAGGAAGGCCGTCGAAAACTGCCTCCAGCTCTTCTTCCAACGGTATCGAGCAGATTGGGAGACCACGCATAAACTTCAGTTCACCGAACGACAGCTTGACCTGCTTTCACAGTACAGAGGCAGACCCATATATTTTGGATGATAGTTATAATAACCACAATCTGCTCGAAGTGTGCACTTGATGTGTGTGCTAGCTGTGGCTTGGTCGATGCAAACAATCGGGTCGGGACTAAGGTGCAGGTGGGATATTAAGTTGCTCCATGTTGTACGCCATTACATTCCATCTTGGAAGGATCATTGTGAAGCTATGGCGTTCTCGAACTGTGATTGTAGACCGATCATCCTCACCCAGAGTCACTCGCAAGCGGACAGGGTTTGATGTGCTGGAGTGGAGACGGATTCGGAAAACAGAAAAGAATCGCCGACCGGCCTGTAGTGGATTTTTTGACAGAGACGGCTCTGAGGAAAAGGACTACGATGGACGGGTTGGGGGACGGGTTGGGCGGTCAATTAATGAGTTTCATCGTCTGCTCTCAGCAGTCACGAACCACAGTGATGGGGTCAGCCGGGAAGAGAGGGTCCAGGATTGGACGCTGAACGGCGCGCCGATCAGCTTCATTTACCAACGCCCATGTGCTCCTATGGCAGCCGACCCGACCGCGGCTGCCATGTTAAGACACATTCTTGACATTGACCCCGACTGGGATCTGGGCTGGGGCGGTGGAGGAACGGGAGACATGTCGGACTCGACATGCAGCTGGGAAAGTGCTCGCAGCTGGGAATCTTCCGGCTGTGAAACCCACAACCAGCAGTGTGGGTATGCTCACAACGGACGTGAGGCGCGCGACGAATGTCAGGTCTATGATGCTGGGTACGATGGTGAGCACCGCGATGAATACGTCGGTGAGCGCCGCGATGAATACGTCGAAGAGTGCCGCGATGAATACGTGGGTGAGTGCCGCGATGAATACGGTGATGGTGAGTACCGTGATGAATACGTGGATGAGTGCCGCGATGAATACAGCGATGGACTTCGGCGGCGTTGTGAGTGCGGCGCTGCCTCTTGTGAGTCCGGCTCCGACACCGGTTCCGACTCGGGCTCCGAAAGGACCCCGCGTGTTTGGCGGCCTGCGTTTGTGTTGGACGTGCGCCAGGAGGACACGGGGCGCCTGGTGTTTCGTCCGACGCTGGCGTCTTCTTCTTCGTTTCCGGCGGAGTCAGTGAGCAGGGGTGTGTGTCGTGGACAGCGTGCGTGGCGAGTAGGTCTGTATGAGAAATGGGCGGCGATGGCGGCGGAGGAGTTGCCGGAACTGGATGGAACGGCGATGGCTCCGTTGTCGCCAGCGGGCGTGCGAGTGCGGGACGCGTCTCACTGGAACGCGTGGCCGGTGGCGCGCGGTTTGGCAACGGAGAATGCGCTTGTGAGTGCGTTGGGCGATCGTAGTGGCGACGTCTTGAGCATGCTGCCCGGCTACCGTGTCTCCTACGCCGGTCCCCTAATTGGCGGGGGCTGTGCCCGCTTCGAGTCCACGCCCACCGACATTGTACTCAATGCCGTCCTGACTACCGGACACAGATCTGGCACGCACACGTTCGAACTCTTCAACCAACTCATTGCAGACCTCTACGCACGACACCTCTCCGCACAGACCGCCCAACTCCTCTACAACCGCGCCGCCGAAGCCTGCACTGCCATCACTCGACTTGCGCGACACACTGACTCCGCAGACCTCGCCCTACGCACCTATGGCAAGCAAATCCGGAGCACTCTCCAGTTCCGCGAACTCCAACGCTCATCGACCCAACAGGGACGCGACCGGGACCGGGACCGCCGCCTCGCACAGCTAAACCAAGTCCTATGCTCCCCCCTCAGTTTCGCCACGCCCTATGGAAACCCCTACTTCGCAGTAGATCCACCACCCAGGGAGCCCGGTGCAACAAACTTGAACGAAGAGCACCTTCACGGAGTGTACCCCAGTGGACCGTACCCCTATGCACCGTATCCTTACGGACCGTACCCCTATACACCGTACCCCTATGGACCGTACCCCGATGCACCGTATCCTTACGAAGCCCGCGTATTCCCAAGCGGCCACCCTCCCAGCGGAGCGTACCCCTACGGACCTGAGGGCGAGGCGGAGGGATGTGAGCGGTTGTACTACGCGATCCCGGTTCGCCGGTGGCGGCCGAGTGACGTGTTTCGGATGCTGGAGTGTTTTGAAAATCCGCGGCGCATCTTCCTTCCGCCGGTGGCGAAGGACCTGAAGGGCGAGCGGGCGCTGTACCTGCGGCGACCGGGTCAACCACGGAACCGCAATATGGAGTTGGGCATGCCTCAGATCCCCTATTGCCCGCACGTCGTGGTTCCACCGGAGACGGGCGAGGTCTTTTTGCCCGCGGTCGAGTGTTGGAATGACTGGCTCGAGTCAGTAGACTACGCCCAACGTCTCGTCGACCTCGCGCTCGAGGACGACCGCTGCCGCCCAACCTGCGGCTGCGGCCGTCTCTGTCAGGCCTTCACACCCGAGGCGCGCTGCTACCAACTCTGCAAACGTCTCTACAAAACACTCGAACTCACCTATCTCCAGTTCCTCGGCAACCTCGTCCGCATTGCACATTGGAGTCTGCACTTGAAACAATTCGCCGAGTCCAGATCCACAGATCGCCCGGCCGTTTCCGCCAAAACTCGTTCCGCCGGTGCCCCTTCCGCCGAAACTTCCACCTCCGGGACTCGATCCGGCGACTGGCCGCTCTCGGCCGCGCTCTCCCACGAGCGGCGTTGCGGGTTGGTGTGGCACACTTGTCTCTACAGCTTTGAGTGCAGCAAAGCACAGTTCGAGCGGCTCGCACTCGAAACGGTGCCGGCGCTGTTGCCGCACGAACTTGTTCGGCATCACAAAAACGCGGCCGCGGCACTGGAAGAGCTACGGCCGGGCGCGCTCCCGCGGTGCAGCCAACGTCTCGCCGCCTTCGGCCTCAGCGCCGACGACCCGGCCACCTGCCGCCAGGAACTCGAACATCTCGCCCACGAATTCGCCGTCCGCACGCTCCGCCGCGCCGATGTCTACGGCTCCGCCTTCCTCACGCTCCCAAGCTCGCGTCGCCAAAAACCCGAGGCCGGCGGACACGTTTTCGTCCCCAGTTCCCTCGCCGTCGAAGAGGCTTCCCGAGTCGGTGTCGCACTCGCCTTCAAAGAAACCCACCTCCGCGAACGCGCTCGCCGAGGCCCCAACCCCCCGGTTCAAA